ATAATTGCAAGAATCAAACTTTAAAAAAAAAAAAAAGCTGTGAGCTGAATTGCTGGAGGGAAGAAGTCAGAGACGATTTTGGTGTGTCTGTTTGTCAGCTTTGTTTTGATGCCATTCTCTTGTGCCTAAATTGGCTATCTGCCCAGCCTCATTTTCCTCCTTAACTTTTCTCCCAGACTATATTGTGCACCTCGAGATAATCGCTCTTAAGGATTTGAGTCCCAGCTGAAAAGTTGGGCTGATACGTCACAATAATGGAGAATATATACGTAGCTCAGTGTTATATATTGTTGGGTTCTTGGTGTTCTCTGGACTGGCTTTCCTTCTTGTAGACATTTCATCACCAACCCTGGTAATGAAACACCTGCAAGAACATCTGCAAGAAGAAAAACAAGTTCAGAGACCACCAAGAACCCAGCGTCATACTAAACCAAAATATGGTTTGCTTCCTTGTGGCTTAGCTTGGGGCCCGAACTCAGCCTGTTGTGGTTTATTCATTAAACCATGGTTGGACCAACCATCTTGACTTAGAATGTGAACTGGCCTAGATCTTACAAGTCTGATGATTGCCATTTCTGCTTTAAAGCATGATTAAAACATATCCTAGGGGAAAAATGTGATACACTCAAAATACTTTGCTGATGGAAGAATTTGGTGTTACTCATTATCCATGTGGGAATATCTCCACCAACATGGGAGATCTGCCAACTGAGGCTTTCCCATCCAAAAAGGCAGAGAAAACTGGAGGAGTTCAGTTATAATTCATGCCATGAACACTGCCTGCTTTTTCTGACATCTATTTAGTTCAGCTTCTCTTTCTGGAGAGCTGCTCATTTCCCTATGACTTGGGAGGGGCCCAAATAGAAATTCCCAATCCTGGGAATCTCAGATTGCACTGATAGAGCTAACTGCTTGCTTGGCAGGTCGATCTTGTACGAAATGGAAGTCAACCACAGAGAGACACCTGGCTCCTGTTTGCTTCTTAAGACCTTTCCCATAACAAATGCATTCTGCACAGGTTGCATTTTAAAACAACAATTACACGTAGAGTGCCAAGAATGCCTTTGTTAGTGTAAGCACTGCCTGTTCACATTTAATCTCACAGTCATAGGGACTAACCTATCTTTTTAAAACAATCTGTCCAGACTCTATCTGTAATGGGGAAGAAAATAAGGGCTAGGTATTTTGACGGTTGTTGCCTGACCTCTCTTGTGAACATTGGCGAGCTGATGCGTTCACTTCGCAGTCCGGGCTATTTAATGCTTTCATCTAAATTCTTCATGCTTATTAATGGAGGCAGGAGCCTGGGTGTGAAAGGAGATTGCTCAGGATGTGTTAGGTTGGAGTTGATGATCTGGCACCTTCCCAATGTTTTGGCTGGGGCTGCTCAGAAAAATCCCCTTGCTTTTTTCCCCATCAAGTCTTCCTTGCCCTCTAACTAAAGAGAGGTGGCTTTGGAAAACTCTTTCACCGGGAAAGAGAATTTGGGAAAAATCTTCTGGGTGGGGTATGAGTTCTTGTGCTTATTGAAGGACCAGAGAGCCAAGGGGGGGGGGGGGGTATATGTGAGTGTGCCCGGTCTTTCATTGTATCACGGTTGCTGCAGCACACTGCAGCTTTCTTGGCAACTATTAAATCCCACGGAAAGCCATCAGGAGGGATCTTTTCCAAACTAGGAAATGTTGACAGGCAAGGAGGCTTCAGAGGGAGGAAAGATGCATCACAGGAAACACCACCCCAACAATAAAGTTAGCTTAGAAGTGACAACCAGGAGGAATGAGACATTCTCAACCAACGTGAGGTTAAGCCAATGAAACAGAACCCTCTTCTGTAAGGGAGGGAAAAACTGCTGAGAAATTTCAAGGCAGATGCTGGGATGGTTTTGAACGTATAATTCCCATCAGGCTTAGCTGACCTCCCCATAGTAAAGGACTCTGGGAATTGTGGTCCAAAACGATTGGAAGTCTTGCTTTGTCTATCTCACAGCTGGATGTTCTTGATGTCCCCAGCCCGGCTTTTAGAAGCTCTGCAGACATTTCCTCTCTTGAAGGGTGTCCTTGATTTATTCCGCTCCCATCTGAAAATAAGATGTTGCTATTTCTTGCACTTCACGTTCTCCTCCTAAACATGTTGCTGTCTCCAGCATTTTAACGTATTTATAACTAGCTTTGTCAACCTTTTTTTTTTCTTCCTGTGTCCAAAAAGTCTGCCGTAATTGGCTGCTTCTTTGTAGGCAAGTGTTTGTGTTTGATTTTTCTTTTTCATGATTTAGGCTCTGCCCAGAACTGCGGATTGCAATATACTATAATAATATTTCCCTCTGAGCAGCTTTTTTTACTCGCCTTTTTGAATCTGGGGCCAGTTCTGTGTTTTTTTGTTGCTGCTGCTTCAACTTTTTCAGATCTTAAACTTATTCTGAGTATTTCCCCTGATTTCCCTTTCTTTCCTCCCTTTTTTTTTCTTCTTGGATCAGGCAAGCTTGTCCTTTTCCCATTTTTCTTAAGGAATCTGAATTTCCGGAACCTATTCAACCCGAAAGTATCCTTGATACTCAGCCATTCTTGACCGTGGGCAAGTATTATGTCTTTCATTTCATTTCATTTCATTTCATTTTTGATTTAATGTTTGATTTGATTTTTGATTTAATTTTTGATTTAATTGATTTAGACACTACCCACTCCAACTGACTTGTCATGGTCAAGAATGGCCAAATGTCAAGTGTAACATGCTAGACAGGGAGAAGAAAGGGTTCAAGTCTCTTCTGATTGTCTCTTCTGTCAGTAAAATCTGGTGTTAACTTTTCTTTTTCCCTTGTCAGTCCTACAAGGCAAACCAGACTGAGAATCCAATGCCCTATAGGTCAGGACCACTCTTATTAGAACTGCCATAGGAGCAGAATCTTGCAAGTCTGAATGTGTTTCCCCCTCCCTCCCTTTCTTTTCATGTGAACTAGGGAGGGTTTGTCTGAGAGGTTTTCTCAAATTACTTTCATGGCCTGGGCTCAAGCCCCGCTTATCTGACTGTTGCCTTGGTAGCAGCACTTCCTCCTGTCCTTCAAGGCCATTCCCTCTTCCTTCTACACCCCTCTTCCACCACATTTTCTGTCTGTAACATTGGCCAGAAACTGCTACAGAGGCAAGAGCATGACCACTCTAAACTCTACTTGGATTGAATGGGTTGGCTTTTCCCCAGAGTAAGATGGGGAAAATTGGCTTTTTTTCAGAATTTGGTGGATGTAGAGGATCACTAAGGCTTCTAGCCATGGAACAGAAGAAGTGAATGATAAAGCAGGGAGTAAAATTGACCACAGGGCTGGTATAAAGGGTTCAGAAGATTCACCAATGAATCAGTTAGCTTCATTTCAACTCCTCTCTCTATTAGCTTACTAGGTGACCTTGTTACATGGAGGGATGGAATAAGAATGACCATTTGGAGGCTGGTACTTGGAGAATGTGTATACCTTTCTATGTTGCTGCTTCTTAGACAATTAAGGTATACACAGTGTTCTTACTGGAAATGTTTTATTACAGCCTTTGGACCAGAAGGATTCTTCAGGCAATTTGAGTTATACGTATAGCTAAAAAAAGTAGGAAAAGCAGTAAAATAGAACTACACCATGCATCATTAATAGGAACACTAGAAAAAAGTTTTTCCCAGGCTTTACATGGGTTGGACTACAGTTCCCATTGTGTTAGGGCTGATGGGAGTTGGAGTCCAGTGCAACTTGTAGGTGTCAGGTTGGAGAGCAGGCTACACAGAATTTGTACTTCTTACACTGTTAATCAGGGGGTTACTGAGAACTCAGAAGCCCCCCATCTTATGAGACACATGACAACTAGGAGCAGAGCCTTATAGTTTATGGGATCTTCCCTGTTCCTTTGCTCAATCATGGCTTTGTGAGCATTTGAATGCTGGCAGACAGTTGGTCTGTTTTACCCTGAGATTTAATTTAGTGGGGTTTAGCCTTGTTATGTCTCTGAAAGTTTTTTATTACAAGTGTATATCTCTACACACATTGTCCTCCAAAAATCAACAACAAACTGCCATTTTTCATGTCCCAGTGAGGTATTGAACTGGTTTCATTTCAGTCCTGGATGTATCCACTTTTGGAGCACAGCCCTGGGAACAAGAGAGGAACTAGCGACGTGGGAGAGGGACTGCCATTTTAATATCCCATGATGCACCTGCTGAAGTTTTATTGAGGGGCATTGTGGGAAATTTATAGGGACATCCTCCTCTGCCTGATGCTGATTAGAGCCTTGCTACTGTTAGCCGTGTTCTCTATTTTTTTGGGGGGGGGGAGTACTTTTGCATCCTCCAGAAAAACCCAAGGAATCCGTATTCCTCCAGAGCAGCCTATTTCGCTCCTCTTCTTTTTCCAGAAGTTCAGTTCTGGAACTCTGGCATTCCAATGCTGTCAGCACAGAAGCCCCTATTAGAGGAAGGAATTTGCTGTAAAGAAATGGAAAAAAAAAATCTAGATTCCCTCACCAGCATTTATGCTAGGGCCAGGCAGAGAGAGACCTTTTCCCCCCATTCCTATTTCTCTTTCAATCTGATGCCACAAGATTTGCTTCTGATAGCTCTTTTAAAAGCGAAGAGAACACCTGATTATTTTTCAAAAGCAGAATGCAGTGTTGGCTCACTTCTTCAGTTACAAGGTTCCTGAGGATGGTCGCTTCCTTCATGATACAATTCTTTTTGTGATGGTTTGATGTTTCTTTGATTTACTACACATCCCTTCAGTCCCAAAGGAAAACTTCAAGAGAGAACAGATCTTGTTGAGCTTCTGCAGTAGGGTTGCTCTAGTCACCCCACAGGCTGGGATCATTTCTTTCCTGGAAAAACTCAGAGAACCCATCCACCCTATTTCACAGTCCACAAATTGGGGGAAGAGCATAGGATGGCCCTTCGGGGCCCAGATTTAGGCTGTGTGTGTTCCTGATCTGGATTTGTGAGGTGTGTGAACTTAATTCTCTTCTCTTTTCACAACTCCTCAGAGCGCTTGCCGACGTGATGCGACCGGAAGGTCCCTGCACGGCAGATCATATGGAAACAGATCTCAATATCGTGGTTCACATGCAGCATTATGAGAACATGGAAACGAGACCACCCACCAATAACTTACGTAAGTGTTACTGCTTTGGTTTTTGCTTGGTGACTTTGGAGTTCCTTAGGCCTGTGGTGAGACAGATTTTGTCTTGCCTTGTTGAACCCATCAGTAATTGGTCATGTTCTGACCTTCAGTTTTATTGCTGGTGGTTTCACATTAGCATCTTTTTGCTAAATGTGTTAAAAAGGTAGTTGAGTTGTCTTTCAAGTATTTCAGTCATAGCTCACCTGAAGACCAAGAAGGGGAAAAACCATTAAGGAATCTAAGCCAATGCATATTTTCTTGGATGTTCAGGTCTATAGATCTCAGTGGAACTGAATTTTCAATGTGCTGGATTTGCTGTAAAGAATGCTATGGGTTTTCATCAAAACAGTTCAGGAATTTTCTAGTGGCCCAAATCTGAAATACTCTAATGAGCTCTTGGTGACAGCAGTAAACTTGATAACTCATTGTAGATCTGCAATATATCTGTGGTGTATCAATTATGTATTGTATTTCAACCAAGTGGTTTGGTGTCACAGCTGATATAAATATATATCTCCAATTTGTTTATATGCAGACCCTCCGACATATTAATGAATTATTTTGGAAAATGTTTCCCGCAAGGGAGAATAGAGGGTGATGGCATTTGGAAGAACATTCAAGCTTTGGCAGAACTGTAGTTTCACTTCATTAGCAATATATTCTATTGCTAAACCCAGACCAAAATCTACTGGGAGATAATGATAAATATTTAGATAAAAGCTACTGCTCTGAGTGAAATCTCAGTGCTGGATTATTGTCAACAGTTAGATATGAAACTTAAGTCAGTAAAGATAACTAAAAAAAATCAACGAAGCAGGAAGTTTTGATACTCTGGGTCTTTTTTTAAAAAATCTGTAGCTATCAAGGGTTCCTCCATTGACTATGAAAATGCAACTCAGCAGAGCAAAACGTTATCGCTGCATGTTTATATTTTCAGTGCAGGTTTCAAAATTGGAAACTGTACATTGATCTTATTATGGCAAAAATCTTCTTTGAGCAATTATTCACCACTCCCTGATGACCTCCCGAAAAGGAGTTTTTAGTAGGCATTGTTTCTCTATCATCTTTTTATTCATACTGCCTCATTGTCTGAAGAAGTTTTTAAATGAATTTCGTTCCTCCAGAATATTACATGAAGAATGTTGCCAGTCTTTGAAAAGTGGAGTGTTTTAAGACAGTCACTTTTAATAGTTCGGTGTTTGTAGTTGTGTTCTGGCTGTTGCTGTTAGAGGTGTTGAACAAGAAAATGGGGTGACATGAATGGATCCAAGATGTGTGAATTAGATTAATCCAACTTGAGTTTTAGAAGCCTAAAATAACTGTGTTGATTAAAATATGAATGACAGGAAATACACATTTAAGCTGTGAGAACCAATACTGGACTAATGCTACTGCTGATATTGGTTGAAAAAGTGCATAGAGACTATTTATGGAATCTGTTCAACGTGCTTATGAAATTAACCCATTTTTGGGATCACACACTATATTCAATCATCCACTACCAAACACATTGGCTTGGCATATCAAGCTTAACTGCAAAGCAATGTCACCACACTGGAAACTCACCAAGCCTATCATATTGGATAAATCCATTTGCTAGGTCTGGATCCTGACCTGATTTTGTTTGAATGCTGCAGTTTCATAAAACCAAAATGGCTGTGACATGGCTATAATTTGCCTGTGAAGAAGCATCAACCTGTTGCCCTCTGCTCCAAGTTCTTCATCTATCTCTCCATTATATTACCCTTTAGCCCTAATCTGCAAATTGCTTCAGACACACTTACACAGCTAGTGTTTTCTCATTGCCCTTACTAAGCAGAATCTTGGGTTCCTTGCATTCTTTTGCTATACTACTACGTTGGATGGCACTGATTTTCTCCTTCCCACTTTTCTATCTGTATTCTTTTCCTCCATAACTCATATATTTAGTTGGATTCTTCTTTAAAATTAAGATGGTTCCCTAATTGTTTAGCCTATACTCCCAAATTCTATGGTAATTTTTGTATTCTTTATATTGTCAAAGAAACTATAGTGGAACCTCGGGTTACGAATGCCTCTGTTAACGAACTTTTCGGGTTACGACCAGCTCCGGCCGCAAAAATTTACCTTGATTTGCGAACTCCGAGCAGGATACCCAGCCATTTCCCCTCCCGTGACACGGCCCGCGGCCATTTTCCGCCCCTGACACGTGGTCCGCGGCCATTTTTCCGCCCCTGTCACGCGGTCCGCGGCCATTTTCCGCCCCTGACACGTGGTCCGCGGCCA